AACCTGCCATTTTTGACATCCTCTCGTGTGAACTTTATATATTCATCCACAGAGTTGATGTGATCAGTGAAATGTTGGACCTGTCCAGAAGACCTATACAATCTTTTTTCTTTTTCACGGTTTGTTTAGTTTGTTTATATGTTCTTTATGGTTAATGGTAAATGGACTGTAGCTCCTTTAAATCCAACCAGGAAACTCAAACTACAGTCTGTGTCCTCATTAACCCGTTCACACTCATTCATTCAGCTCTAGTTCTCACAGAGCTGATACAGATAAATCAATCCTTAGATTRATCACAGTCCTACAGGCAGGGGGTTCAGTGTCTTGTCCAGGGACACTTTGGCATGTGACAAAAAYWGCGGGGAATCAAACYGCCAACTCTCACATTAGAGGAATGACTCCCCTAACCACTCTGCCACAGCTGCCAGTATGTTTGGATATAAACTGGTATGTGTTGGTATGCATGGTATTTTTATTATTCTGGTATTTGATTAATTATTTCTGAGTTTTCCTTGTAATATCAGTTCCTTCTCCTCAGTTACTTCATTTACCGTTAGTGTGCCACGCCCCTCTGCAYCTGCATCATGTTTCACCTTCCACAGCTGCAGCCATTTTACTCATCAGCCTAAGTTCAGCCTGTCAGCTGTTACTGCTTTCTCACTGGAGTATTCTGATTTTTACCTGAGTTCCTTGTTTCTGTCTGCATTTGTGGGTTCATCCTCAGTCTACTGTGACAATTCTTCACCGAAAATTGTATCTGTTGACACCAGAAAGAGATTCAGAGCAACGATTTACAGATTAAACCAGAGCGAGATACTTATTCCATCTGCTAAGATATTAAATTAAACAACAATCAGTCCTACAGCAGTCACTGTAAACAAAATGTTTTATAATGTGAAGGATAATGTGTGTTTGTTCAAGAAAAGAGTTGAGGGAGTGAGAGCAGCTTCTTTACAAAAGTCCTGAACATTTCAAATGTTAGTGTGATGTCATCGACTGTCAATATTTCTTAAAAACATCTGTAAACATCCTCCAAGTTAATCTGTGATCGCGTGAAAAAAAGTTAAAGATGTTGAAAATCTTTCATTCAAACTGTGAGTGATGGTTCTGCTGCAGAGCTGCAGGTCCAAACAGAACCGGGGGTCCTCAGGGCGTCACCGAAAACATTTTCAGCAAGTTTTTTTTTTCTAATTTTACCTACAGTGCATGTCAGCTGCACACTTTGGTGCATAACTCACCGGTGTTTGTTTGTTTGTTTGTTTGTTTGTTTGTTTGTTTGTTTGTTTGTTTGTTTGTTTGTTTGTTTGTTTGTTTGTTTGTTTGTTTGTTTATTTCAAAGCTGTGAAACAACACAGAACATAATTCTGGAAGAAGTGATAAAGAAGCTGCTTTAATTTGAAAGTGTTTTGGTTTGTGTTTTTTGATTTCCTGTTGCCCTATCAGTGTGTGTGTGTGTGTGTGTGTGTGTGTGTGTGTTGTTTTGATGCAGTTCGTGACTTTAATTTTAAAAAATGAATTCCCACAGAGGTCCGGTGTGGACGTTCAGTCGTTTATTTTCACAAACATTTTGCAGAGTCAGAGCAGCCGAAATCACAGAACATTTAGCGTCACAGAGTTTCAGCTGTTCTGCTAACAGCCATTAAAATAAATGTTTTATAAGTAAAGTCTCAGTTCATCAGAAACAAACAAACCAGTTTCACAAGCTCTGAGCTGGGACAGCGTCAGGGAGTCACTCTGACATTTCTGTCAACAAACTCATCCTGTTGTCGTCATTAAATGATCACATTTCTCTGTCAGATCAATAAGTATTTTTCAGTAATTAACACTTAGTAAGGATGGTCATTACAGGTGAGCAGTTAATATATCAGATGATCCATCGTTCTCCTGTTACAGCGGTCTAAAACAGTTTAGAACATTAACTCAACTCAACAAATCATTTTTGAGTGTTATTCAGTGAAAAACAGGCCCAGATTTGATCATATCTCTCTTGTCACAATGCCTCTTGGTAATAAATCTTAAACTGTTGGAACGTCTGTTAATTTCCCTTTTAAATGAAGCCACATTTGTRAGCAACATGTGGGATGAGCAGTAGAGCCAGAATGTGGGTTGCACACAACGAGCTGTCCAACAGCTCGTTGTGCTGTTATTGACTGTGGTGAGTTTTGATGATCATTTATTTGTTTCCAAGAAGCCTTGTTACAAAAAAAATGATCTATGAAACACTGATTTTCTTTCTTTTTGTGCCAAGTTAAAATATAAATTTGTCTCTTTAAGGAAACCATCAGATTTCACTGAATCTTCACTTTGAGTCCCTCATCTGAGAGGAGAGGGAAACAGTTTGTCTAAATTTGATGTTCTTACACTTTGAAATATAATTTGATGATATGAAACAAATCCCCTTCCAGGAAATGTTCAGTCTGTTTTCTGTACGAGTGTTATTCTAAAGTGATTTACTTGTTTACCTGTTATAAAACAATATTTCATGAGTTTAAAGAGTATTTATAATACAGGTTGGGCTGAGAATTCAAATATGATCCTAAAGTGAAACATTTCAAGCTGAAATATTTAAAAAGTTTACTTCAGTAATGTTTTATTAAAATAATAAAG